CAGACCAGTAGGTGGTGCTGCGCCAAAACGCCTCATGCTTGTGATGACATGTACCAAGTTTTGTCTGAATACGATAAAGCGTTGCGGAGATACAGCCATTCATCTGTTTTCGGAAGCGCTATGTAAAATTAGTTTGTGCAGTATTCGAGAACGGTTTGACGAATCAACTTGAATTCCATAACTTTTTGTTTGCATGGTCTGAAGATGATCTGGTTCAATTTCCGTGAAAATGTGAAAGTAGGTTTTTCTGAGAATTCAAAATGGCGGAAAGATTTCAATTACAGAAAATGACGCCATAGGATGCAATCAAATCGGCTTGAGCCAAGGAATCAGAGGAAACAAGAATTTTGGTACAAAAGTTATTAGCATAAATATGAGTGAAACTTTGGAGAGTTGGTGGCGCTAGAGGGATTGAGTTAGAGACTCCAAATTTGCTATGGTGACTGTTCAGACTGTCCTCTATCAAGTGTGTCAAATCTAATTTTTCTGCAAATCTCTGCAACAACTTTCCCGCAAGCTGTTTTATGGGCTGCCATAGACTTCCATACGGAAAAAGAAGAAGAAACGGAGGAAGAAGAAAAAGAAAAAAACGCCAACGATTTCAAGAGGTGCCTCTTGGCCACTAATTATAGTAAAATACTTAATGTCCAAAATCTCAATGTCCAACCTGCTCACAAAAGGGACATATGGAACTCTATTGTGGGCAAGGTAAATGCAGCAGGGGGAAAGGCGCCTTCCACAGATGACATTAAAAAAGATGGAATGACCTAAGGAGACGCACAAAGGAGAAGCTCGCTTTAAATAAATCATTCGGCAAAGAAGACTGGACGTGGTCCTGTTGAGGAAATGCCCTTGACTCCTTTAAGGAAACTGTACAGCAGTCGCTTACTGGAGAGCAAGTAACGGGGATCGACGGAATTGATTCGCTGAATCACATGATTCAGAAGAGTTCTTCACAGGGTCAATTACTAGGCTATATACGTCAGTAAATTATTAAAAATCTGCATAAACAATGCATTTAGGATACTAATTTAATATTGTATAATATATAAACAGGGATAACGTCATCAGCTGTCCACAGTGTGGATCCAGACTTGGTGATGCTGAATGTGGAACCAGCGGAGACTTCAACTGCTTCGGATGGCTCTTTATCTGGTAATTCCTCAACTCAAAAAACTACCCCTCGTTGACATTGACTTGCAGTTACTCCAACAACAGCATATGCAGACTACTGCATTAAAAGAGATGTTGCCAAACTTGGTGAATGGGCTTAAGGTACTTTCTGCATCCATGTAGAAAATTGGTGGACACACAGAAGCGCTTGTGATCCACACTCAGCAGCTGGTCAGAGCGATTTCAGGTCTGGCCGTGTCCGTGGGTAGTGTAGTACAGGCCACACATGAATCCCTGGTGCGCATTCTAGATTGCATGACTCCAGATGGCAACGGCTTGTGATCCACACTCAGCAGCTGGTCAGAGCGATTTCAGGTCTGGCCGTGTCCGTGGGTAGTGTAGTACAGGCCACACATGAATCCCTGGTGCGCATTCTAGATTGCATGACTCCAGATGGCAACAGAAACCCCACAAGGTCCACAGGGCAAATACAGCTTGGACAAATGGGATTGCAGTGTCACAATATAAAACCTATTGAAGGACAAGGTGACGGGAAGATTAAGCTCAAGACATAGCTAGTTTTCATGCTTCACATGCAGCCTCACAGTGACAATGTATGTGAATCTATTATGTTGGGGTATTGATAGTATTTTTTGAATACTTAAAATTGTATAAGATCACTAAATGTCAAGCTACTCTCTGCAAATGTATTTTTCTTTCAAGTTTTTGTTCAACACATTCCATATTGCAGAGCTGCCAACTTTTGAGTTTAGCTTGGCGTGAGACTTCTCCAACGGGGGGTGGGTGGGCTCTGCCGTCGTGCGCGGTTAGGAGCTCAACACATCTGTCTCGCATGCACGCTCACTCTAGATTACAGGATATTTTTACTAATTTGCAGTAAAACTAATCGATCACGAATGGCTCAACTGGTAGATCTATAGATAAACTTATCTTTCAGGCATTTGACCGACCGGGTTGACACTTCAGCGTGAGAAATCGGGGGTGTGGCGTGAGAGCGTGAGAATTGGCTCAATTGCGTGAGTCTCACGCTGAATGCGTGAGAGTTGGCAGCCCTGATATTGTGTGTCTAGATAATGATCGCTTCATTCTAGAAACTATTTGTTTTAACTTGCACAAAAAGACTGTGCCAGCTTTTTATGTCTCTGAAATGTCCTGGGGCCTCATGTATAAAACTTTGCGTAGATTTCATCCTTAAAGTATGAGTACGCACATAAGGCAAAAGTTTTCAGATTTATAAAACCGTTCGTACGCCAGAACCTGCGCAGAATTCACTTTATAAATCCCAGTCAGCGGAAGATTGTGCGCACGCGCGTCTCCTCCCCGAAATAACCATATATGGAGCTTACAACGCCTAGTTTTACTATGCATATCCTCATCTGCATGTCATTTGCATATGATTATTCATCCACGTGATACGTGATACCATGTTTAACGGTACGAAATATGGATGTGCCGTCACATTATTACATTCATAATTTTTTTAGTAGCTTATATCCTTGCCTTGTTTTTGAATAAATAAATGTATAAATACATTTCAGAGAAAGTTTTTCTCAATCTTTTCCACTGGCCAAATAGTATTTTTAATTGATTTATATTTTTAATGGAAACAGATAGACATTGTTGTGCATTATTTGCACGAAACAATTTCCCCAGACAATCTGCTATTAGCTATCAGTTAAAACATTAAAACACAGCATGGCAGAGAGAAAAGTGTTCAAAAGCATTGCATCCACAACAAATAGGTCTATTTCTATTTATTGAATATATATTTTTTGTAACTTCTCAGTAATTATTTCATGTAGCTAGTTTAAGTGAAACTCCATTAATGAGAATGGCATATTTAATCTAAATGTTTATATCAGAAGTAAAACAGTTTAAATCATTCTTTTATTTATTTAAAATGTTATTGTGAACACATGCTTCTTGATGGTTTTGTAATGAACACCGTAGTTAGGACCGATGATGAGTAGCGATTGTGCTTCATGACTGTATTTGCAGACTTTGACATTTTATGATATATGTACATTAAGGAAAATATTTCCTTTTTACACTGTGTTCTGCAGTTCTCTAATAAAAGGGTATTTCATGCTATTCTGTATCACATGTAGTCGCGCCATGTCCTCCTGCGCTCCCGTTGTGGACAATGTGACTGTAAGGCAGCGCTGATTATTATTATTAGTTTTTTTTATATACATTTTGAATTACGTTTGGATTTTACTAGATGTATATAGCCTAAAACAATCGGCACAAACTGTTGGATTTAATCTTCATGATAATGTGGATATAATGTATGAAATGGAGTGAAAATTAAATGTCATTAATTCTTATAATCGTTCTTCTCACATTTATTTTCTAAAATCTAACTTCAGTTCACTACCTCACCATCTGTGTCGCCAATTCCCTTTGTCTCCAGAATGTGCGTACGCACGGTCAAGAGCATCTTTACGGTGCGCACTTATTTACGCCAAGTTTATTTTTTATAAATCCCGATATGTGCGTGGAAAAATGCGTACGCATATTTGTATGCCCATTTTGTGCGTACGCAACGTTTATACATGAGGCCCCTGGCCAATCCAACAGCCTCATTTAGGTTAAATACAATACTCTGATTTTAGTTTTTTATATATTTATTTTAATCTGAACCTAAATTAAAAGACCTGCTCAAATTTTCAAAAAGTGAACACGAACATCACACATCACGAGAAAACAACGATTTCGGGTTCTGGACCGGTGTCATGATCCAGGGATGTAACGGGTGAGCTTGGTCATCTTCAGTATAAGAGAGAGTTAAACTTTAATAAAACATTAACGCCTAATGTGTTGTAAGAAATAGAATAGGAAAACATGTTGGACCTAATGGCCAACCATCACCATACTCTCCATCCCTCATTTTCTGGAAAAGTGGGCTATTCGGAAAAAAATTAATGCATCGTGACCAGACCCTGGGTATTTATCCACAAAGTTAGTAATTAGGTTTGTGGAGTCACACACTACCTGGACGTTAATGGAGTGTGTGTGCTTCCTGTTGCGGAACAAATTCTCTATTTCAGATGGGGGAAATCAACTGAGCATGTGTTCCATAAATTGCTCCAAGCACATTTGGGAAATCTGACATGGTCTGAAAACCCCGTTTGATTTTTTGGATTGCTTCCTGGCCATTTGGAAATATTATGTGCATCTGCACTAATTTCAACACTGACTTGACCAAGGATAACGCAGGTGAAAATGCAGACTGTGAAATCCCAGCTAAAGAAGCCACAGTATGTTGAAAAGTGAAGGGTTCCAAGAAGTTTTGATGCACTAGGTATTGCGTGACTCCTTGTAGTTGAGGGTTCCATGATTTATTTTATTTCCTGCAGCAAATTAAAAATAACATGGCTTGGCAAACAATATGTTCTAAACTATATGGATAACGTCTTCCTCTGGCATTCCAAAGAAATTATACGAGTGGAAAATATTTTCACCCTTCTACCTCCCTCCCAACAATTGCAGCCATGTCGCAAAAAGGGTTAAGACATGCTTTTTTGGGGAGTTAAATAAGGGTGCAAATACCATTAAATTGACTAGTGCAAACATTTGCGTGATTGATTTAAATACTGTCCTCAAATTTTGCGTCTGAAAGGGAAACTCCTACAAATGCATATGTAATAAGGTCAGCCGCAAAAATAACTCAGCGCTAATTTAGCACTGCGTGTCTTTAGTAAATCCCGACAGTAGTTTTTTAACACCAAAAGAGGCTGTGTGGTGGCATAAGCAGTTAGTAAATCTGGCCCTAAGTCTTGAAGACATGTTTTTTCTGTTACAAAAAATGCAGTGCAATTATTTCATTCACTTGTATCCTTTTATTTAAAAGCATCCATTTACATTGTGGGATTTCACAGTAAGACAAAAGTTTATTTATTTATCTAATATTTTGATTCCAAAGTATTAATCTAATATACGAGGCAAATTATAAATAACTAAAGGATAGAAATAAAAGACATGGTCAAGTTTAACAGGAGTGTCACCTGATCAGATAAATATCTGATATGGGCCAAAATGTTAAATTTCATGTGAACAGCCTCACCAAATATACTGTATTTGAGGGGGAATCCGATTTGGCCCACACTTAGCTGTGGTGTGAACGAAGCCTTAATTTTACACAGAAACGTATTTTCTGGTGCCATTTTAAACTGCCGAGCCATTTAAAACTCTTCCCACACAAGGAACACAAATAGGGTCTCACATCCGCATGACTTTTCAGGTGTATCCGTAAGTGTAATGGCAAAATAAATTTTTTATTACATTGATCACAATTAAATCGCCTTCCACCAGAGTGAATGAGCAGGTGATGTTTGAAATTGCTTCTTTTTCTAAACCTCTTGTCACACTTTTTTTTCCCAGAATGACTTTGTAAATGACTTTTCAAGTCTCTTTGATATGTGAAACTTTTTTCACACTGAAGACATGTAAAAGGCTTCTCTCCAGTGTGAAGTCTCATGTGAGTCTTGAGGTTTCCTTTAAGTGTGAAACTCTTTCCACAGTGATGACACATGAACGGCTTCTGTCCAATGTGAATTATTACGTGCTTCTTAAGCTGTTTCCTGTCTGTGAAATTTTGTCCACACTGATGACATTTGAAACAGTTCTCTCTTGAATGAATCCCTATGTGTTTATTAAGAGTTACTTTATGCCTGAAACTCTTTCCACACTGATCACATGTGAAAGGCTTCTCTCCAGTGTGAATTCTCATGTGATACTTAAGATTTCCTTTTTGTGAGAAGATCTTCCCACACTGTTTGCATGTGTGAGGGCTCTCTCCAGTGTGAACTCTCATGTGGGAATCAAACGAATCTTTATATGTAAAATTCTTTCCACACTGAGGGCATGTGTAAGGCTTCTCTCCAGTGTGAAGTCTCATGTGAGTCTTGAGGCTTACTTTATGACCGAATGTTTTGCCACAGTAATGACACAAGAAAGGCTTCTCTCCTGTGTGCTTTCTCATGTGAGTCTTCAGGTCTTTATTGAGTCGGAAGCTCCTTTCACACAGCTGGCATTTGAAAGGCTTCTCTCCAGAGTGAATTATTACATGCCTATTAAGACGTTTCAAGTCAGGGAAACTCCTTCCACACTCATGACATATAAACCGGTTCTCTCTTGAGTGAACTCTTTTGTGGGAATTAAGGGTTTCTTTACGTGTAAAACTCTTTCCACACTGATCACATGTGAAAGGCCTCTCTCCAGTGTGAATGTGCATGTGATACCTAAAGTTTATTTCTGCTTTATAACTCTTTCCACACAGTTTGCAGGTGTAAGGCTTCTCTCCGGTATGAGTTCTCATGTGGTTTTTAAGGGCTCCATTTTGAGTGAAACTCTTTCCACAATGTTGGCAGGTGAAAGGCTTCTCTCCAGTGTGAAGTCTCATGTGAACTTTAAGGTTTCCTTTTTCAGTGAATTTTTTTCCACACTGTTGACAGGTGTAGGGCTTTTCTCCATTGTGAACTCTCATGTGGACTTTAAGGTTTTTGTGTTGACTGAAACTCTTTCCACACTGAAAGCAGGTGAAAAAACTTCCAGCTCCTGTCTTTTGAACTCTTTTTGGCGAAGAAGTATTTTCAGTCTGTGAGCCACTAAAAGATTTTTCTCCAGTTATCAAATCATGATCTTTCATTTCATTCAGTACTTCACTCTCCTCTTTCAGTGCCATCAGATCTACAGCAGAAAAAGATAAATACAAGTTAAGCCATGTTTAATGGCACAAAGCAAAATGCATCAACACATTTAAAGTATAAAATCTAGCAACATGTATGCTAGATCCTCAACAGTAATGATCTAGTTAACGGAACACCTCCGGCTCATCAGGTATATTACCTTGAAGATCAAGAACAAATGAATATCTTTCTGATGAAATCTGAGAGACGCTTCAAAAAAGTATATAGAGATCGTAAAACTAATTTATATGAATTGAGTGGTTTAGTCAACATTTTCTGAAGCGACTCGTTCACTTTATATCACAAACAAGTTTAATTTAGTCTTTTATTCACGTATAAACATTGACCAGCAAACATAAACAGAAGCTCAACTGAACCTGTGTCATGAACAACCAGATAAGGTTAGATCCAAACGCAGCGTGAGTTTATTCACAGGGTAGTCAGACAGGCAAGGGTCACAGACAGCAAACACAGCATAGGAGACAAGCCAATACTCAGGATCAGAAACCAGGCGAGATGACAGAGGCAGGCGGCAGACGAGACGGAATCCGGGAAACAGGCAATGGGTCAAATACACAGACAGGAACAGAAGACTAGGATAACAGACTTGGAAAACTAGGAAACGCTCGGAAATGTACACAACAGTGAAACAAGACTTAGCGCTGAGTGATAGTGAGAGTTGGGTATAAATGAGTGTGGAGCTGCGTGAGGAACTAGATGCAGGTGTGAGAGTGATCAGTGGAAACAGGTGTGTGCGCAATCAGTTCAAGGGAAGCCGGTGCAGAAGTGGACCGCCCTCTCGTGACACTAGAGGGCAATCCAGCCGAACTTCAGCACAACCTGCTGATTGGTTCTGGCGGTACATAAAAAGTGCTGCATAACACACGAGAATGAACCTCATTGGTTCTTGCACGTCAAGCGAAAATGATTGAGCTTCCGTTTTCCACAACTTATGTGTGAGTTGATGAATGTTTATGTGAATAAAAGCCTTAATTCAATCTGTTCATCATGTAAATCGATTGTGTCTCTTCAGAAAACTAGAGAGTTGACCCTCTCCTGACTAAACTCTGCCTTTGTTCATGACAAGCCCCAGTTGGCCCGCTTTGGACAAGGTATTATTGGACAAGGAGGGTCAAAAACCATGGGCGTTGGCCCGATCAAGCCCCCAAAGTGATAGTGGAAATGTGACTGGTCCTGGCACGCACTAGCACGCTCGCTTTTGGTCTGACAGTAGAAACACTGCTATTGGGGCTGTAGGGCTAAGTAGATCTGGGAATAATCTGCATAGCTGTGGTAAGCAATTGGGTTATTAGTAGGGGTGTGACGAGACACTTATCTCACTAGGCGAGACGAGACACAAGAACTTCACGAGAACGAGACAAGATTTTTGCACAATTCTTTAAAGAAATCATCAATGACAAAATTCATGACTGGAAAAATAGTCCGCAGATGCATTTTGAAATGTTTTAACTAATAATCTTGTAATGAATGTCATTTTAGCTCAACTTTATGAGTATGAATTATCAAATATTTCCACAAATTGAACATAATAAATATAGTATAACTAACAAAAATATTTTTTCTCTTAGTCTTAAGTGCAAGTGCAACCAAATTCAAAGTACTCTAAAAATTCAAATTGCAAACAGGCCAGAGATAGGTATGATATTGAGAGACATGCTATTGTATGTAGCCTAATTTGCGCGCATTGCATTAGGGAGCTTGTGTTTTACTTCACTTTCACATTTGCGATCGCACCTACTATGTAAAGGGAGCGACAGTGCTGAGCGTGCATTCTTCAAGTTAAGACATTTATCAGACGCTTAGGGTCTGTTACGCAACGAATCCTCCACCATGGTCTTGTCATTCATCTCGCCTTACTCTCATCACGTGATCAGTAAACTGTGAGCCACTCTGCAACTCATCCTGGATGAGCAGAGCAGACATTTACAAGTTTACAATGGTTTTTATTTTTATAAAAACAGCAAAACCGCAGTGGAGGCGGTGCCGCGGTGATCACAGTAATGTAGTGTGAATGTAGCGGTGGTATATTCTATGCTAATTTCACCCTTACGCTCCGTCACAGCGATATCGCGAGACAGCTTTCCACTCACATTGGGTCTCATTCATGAAACATTCGTAAATATACGAGTAAATATGAGTGATTTGCGCGTAAAGAGACCTTCCCGAAAACTCATCTCCTGATTCACAAATACTTTGTAAACGTCAGATGTGATAGTGAAATGTGTGTGTGTGTTAATGAATTTCAATCAGTCGTAAATGGGACACGCGTGGATGCTTATTCTCAATTACCATAAATCCCGCCCATTAAATCCGACTGACAACTATATATGGCCATCATATTATTACACCAAACGAAGGATTTCAACGTGTCTTCTCAAAAGCAATTGAAAAAGAAAAAATGCAGAAATCAAAGTTTTATTATCAGAAGTTCATTCAAAACACCACATTTTATTTTCAAGCGTAGGCTACATAATGGCGTATCAGGTCCTAAAAAAAAGGAAGCTTGGCAGCATATTACAGATGCAGTTAATGGAGTTTCATCTGTTAATCAAACAGTCCCAGAAGTAAAAAGAAAAACTGTATGTAATTACTATATATAATATTTTTTCAAAATGCTGTGTAAATATGTACCCGATTAAGGTGAATTAAAATGCAGCCTTAGTTATTAATGAGCAAAACGTTCGGATGTTAAACTCACTATTTACGCGTGGCTGGAAGCAGGTGTAGATTTCTTTCATACCAACTAACATTTGGAAAATACTAGGGGTGTGACGAGATCTCGTGCCACGAGATCTCGCAAGACTAAAACATGACGAGATTTCTCGTCGAGTGAAAAGCTGTCTCGCGATATCGCCATGACTGAGCATGAGGGTGAGATTACCATAGAATATTCCACCGCTACACTCACATTCGCCTAAACTATCGTTTTGCTGTTTTTATACAAAAAATAAAAACCATTATAAAATAATGTAAAAGTCTGCTCTGCTCATCCAGCACGAGTTGCCGTTGCAATCAGTGCAGCACGTATCACAGTTCACTGATCGCGTGAGGATGGCGGAGGATTCGTTGCGCAACATAGACTAACGTCTGATTTAACGTCCAATATGTAGAATGCGCGCTTAGCACCGTTGCTCCCTATTCACAGAGTACGCGCGATCACGAAAGTGAAAGTAAAACACAAGCTCCCTGATGTGCATTGCGCACAAATTAGGTTGCGAACATACAATAGTCCGTCTCCTAATACCCATCTCTGGACTGTTTATTTGCGGCTATGGTCTCAGTTTGCACTTCGAATATATTGAGAGAGTACTGTAATGTCTTAAGGACAACAGACAAGGGAGGCTCTGTTTCTGAACTTATAATCGGACGGAACGCAAGAGCAGCTGTAGAGACAAACACACCAGCCTCGTTTCTCTCTACCCGGCCTTTTCCGAACTCACCGCATTAACCCTATAACTGTTGTGTTGCTGCACCCAAAATGTGGAACTCTCTCCCCCGATCACTCTGTTCTGTTAACACTATTTCTGATTTCAAATCCATGCTCAAAACTCACTTATTTTCTGAATGTTATAACTCTTAGGGTTTTTTTTTTCTCTCTCTCTCTCTCTCTCTCTTCTCTCCATCTACCTAATTTCTCATGTATTGTACAATTTTGTCTTCGTACTGTTGTTCTGTCTGCTGTCTTTGTCCTTTGCCTGTAATGTTGCCTGTTTATTGTAAAGCGTCCTTGAGCTCTGGAAAGGCGCTATATAAATAAAACAGCAATTTGAAAATAATTATAAAGAGTCTGTGTGCTAACTTTGATTATGGTTGCACTTGCACTTATTGTTTGCGCTTAATAAGACTTCAAGGAGTTCAGTTAGGAGGTCACACACAGCCTCAATCAGAAATCAGCTCTTAAATGTACAGTAAGGGCTGAAGAGACTAATGTAAAATCATACAGAGAAAAGCCAGTCAATAAAAACCTTTTTACAGTGCTTGTATATTGTTTCTGTCAATGCATTTGATAATTCATACTCATAATGCATGTCATTTCAGGTCTACTTTATAAGATTATTAGTTAAACATTGCAGAATGCACCTGCATACTATTTTTCCAGTCATGAATTTTGTCATTGAGGATTTCTGAAAAATTGTGCAAAAATCTCGTCTCGTCTCGTTCTCATGAACCCAATTTCGTGTCTCGTCTCGTGAGATAAGCGTCTCGTCACACCCCTAGAAAATACGAACATTTTAATGAATCCGAAAATTTACGCCAGAACCACTTTACAGACGATTTACACAAATTCGTTCGGCTCCTGTTTCATGAATGAGACCCATTGCCTCGCAAGATCTCGTCACACCCCTAGTTATTAGTGAATGAGCAGATGAGCGAGTGATTTAAGATGTAGTTTTTACTTCGGACGTAGATATTGGGTTCATGTTAATCAAAATAATTCTGTTTAGGCCTGTGTCTCTCAACTCCTCAGGACCAATCTCCCAGAATGTTTTAGATGCTTTCCTATTCAACACAATAAGAAGCTGATGAGTTGAGAAACACTGGTTTATACTGTTGTGAACTTTTTCTTCTTAAGTTAAGGAACTTAGAAGCTATGACCAGGAGACTCGGGTTGTATCTTAAGTCGGATTTTTTTATTGAGAACACGAGCTGTTGCGTTGCTGTAGTCTTTCGATACAAGTCTGACTAAACTAAAATACAGACTGTAGTTTATACATTTAGAGGGGGAGGAGTTACATCGAAGGGGAGACACTCTGAAACAAAGCATGTAAATGAGGTATACAGGTTTTGGAACCTGCTCAGCATGACTCTTCAAACGCTGAGATACGAGAACAGGATGGGCAGGACTTCTCCTACTGAGACAGGAACTCAAAGACAAAAGGTGACAGAGAGATCAGGACAGTCAGGAATATTCCGCTGGGAACCCCTACCGTTTGTACCCTACCCCTACCTTTCTCAATATAAAATACTATTGTATTGGAA